GCTAGAGGCATCACCTGAGATGCTAGAGGCATCACCTGAGATGCTAGGGGCGTCACTTGGGGTGCTAGTAGCGTCACCTGGGATGCTACTAGCAACACCTATGGTGCTACTAGCATCACCTGGGATGCTAGTAGCATCATCTGGTACACCACTGGCATCCGAGATGATGCCTGCAGTATCCCAGGTGATACTACTAGCATCCCAGGTGATACTACTAGCATCCCAGGTGATGCTACTAGCATCCCAGGTGATGTTACTAGCATCCCAGGTGATACTACTAGCATCCCAGTTGATGCTACTAGCAGTCCAGGTGATGCTCACTTTTCTTGACCCTAAGGGGACTAAGCGGACTATTCAGTGGGGAAGCGCGTTTCCCCACTTAACACACCTTTTATTTCAGCGTCGCGGCGTGGGGGCGCGAAGCGCCCCCCGAAGAGCCGCGACCCATGCACGTCTCTGTGTACACCATTATTCCTACCCTTAGTCCCCTTAGTCCCCTTAGTCCCTTAGTCCCTTTAGTCCCTTAGTCCCTTAGTCCCTTTAGTCCCTTAGTCCCTTTAGTTCCTTAGTCCCTTAGTCCCTTTGTCCCTTAGTCTCTTTAGTCCCTTCGTCCCTCTGTCTTGGTAAAAATGAGGTGTTATTTTTTTTTTCAAAATTCAAATTTAAATAAAAAAACCCATAGACTCTCTATAACATACATTTAACGTACATATAGAAAAAAAAATTGATAAGAAAACTAATGAAATAGCTTGAACTTCTGATATTTTCTTATTTTTAATTTAAAAATACATGTAGAACTATGAACTTTTTTTATTCTTTTTCTTGATCTATGAAGAAAATTGCAAGTTCGTTTGAACTTAGAAAAAAAAGCAATATAGTAAATAATTGAATATTCTCTCATGAAGTTGCTATAATATCTAATAATATATAAAGAAAAAGTTCTATTAAAAACAAATATGAATATAATAAAGATTTTTTTTTCCTGTTTTAATTAGTTTATTTCTATTATTTCATGACTCTCTGTCTCGCTCTGTCTAGTAGTCGATAAAAGGATGTGAGTATTCCAATGTTTTCTCTATATATGTGCATATTCATAATTACATCTTTCATAGAACTCAAAAAAAAATTCATTATTTGTAATAGAATAATTATCGTGATCTATTTCTTTTTCCAAGAAAAACAAAAAGAACTTTAATTATTTGTATTAATGATTTATTAATTACGTACGATGACTTACACACTAAATTCAAATGCATCGTGTTTATGTGTCGTGAATTATTGTGTCGTGCACTCCAGCAGAAAAACGTGTCGTGCACAGAATGTGTCGTATACGAATTTTTCGCGTTCTGTCTGCTAACTAGTCGTTCACCCTTTTATTATGCAGACATGACGATATATAAACAACGTGGTTGAACGTAAGAAAGATGAATTTTCAAAATATTCTTTTTTTTCTAAATTATTTCTCGATAGTCTTTGTCGAGAAAATGCCAATCTCGATTCATCATCGAGAAAGGACTAAATTGGAGTCGTCTGATGCAAATCAGATCAACTCGAAGCAGGACAGATCTCAGGATCTAACCTTCTAGAGTTTTCACCATAGAAATAATTCAATGGAATTATATTGAACAGAAAAAAATTGAAATAATTAAGCTTTTCGAAAAGAACCAATAGAAAATGTGTCGCAGTCTCGCTGGAGAAAATGTGTCGCAGTCTCGC